ATGAACTTTTGGTACATATTACATTTAATCTCTAAACCACTAGTCTGAATGACTCGATATTACGTTTACTATGTTGAGGTGTTGGGTTGATTAGAGATGGTTGCTGGGAAACTGAGGACCCAGGTTTCGTCCTATTTTGTACTCGTTCACATGGCGTACCTCGAATTATAAAGGATTGATGGTGATACATTATCACTGACCATTTGGGAGGGCTACTGACCTGTTATAAACTAAAACAAAATAGCTATACATTCTGTCTTGGTTTGTGACAGCTTTCAGGCTGGTGAGTTAGGTGGTTGGTGAAAATCTGACGAATTTCGACCTCAAAAACTACACCTACCTGATATTTACAATCAGTCAAACAAGTTGAAATTTATAGGATTAATTGTTTACCAACCAACGACATGATCAATTCCTCTGTTGCATCCAAATTCTTGAAGAATGTCTTTTCGATCATCTATTAAATTATGTAGACCATCCTTTTGTATTCTGTCAACTTTGATTGCGTGTCTTATCATCGAGTATCGTTGCGCAAACTGAGAACATATTTGGTTAGTTAAGGATAATTAGGGGAATAAATGAAACGAAACCGTTAATAGTTCGAGTCACCTACGACAACAGAATTCCCATATTACATTATAAAAATTAACTTTATCAGGATGTTTGTGAACATAGTTAACGTGGTTTTGTACTCTCTCTTATAGGTTAATTTGTGAATATAGTATTGACCAATTTGTTTCAGTTGTTCATTTATTGAGAAAAATTAATGTTACTGTGTATGCTAGTTAAACTTTAGTTTACCAAATCATGTAATATAAACAATTCCATTTATGATGTAATCAAGTTAATAATATATTTATGTTGTTAATTATTATTGCTATATTACCAGTAATGGTGTAATTTCCTTTTTTTTTTATTAAGAAAACGGTTTTTTTTTGTTTTGAATATCCATATATTTGCACATTTAGGATGTTTATAATCGACTGTAAATGGTATTTAGGAAAAAGTGATATTTTCAGAATTGGTTTATAATGTTAATGTATTTCTATAGAGAGATGTCGGCGAGACTCTAATTTATGAACGAGCCAATTAGAGGCGTTTTAGAGATTTCAAGGTTACGGCGCCAACTTCAGTGCCTAATCCTAATGTACGATCGGTTCACAGGGGATTTTATACAAAACGTGACAATTGAGCGGCTATAACAAATAAAACGGCGAGACTATAATTTATGGACGAATCAATCAGGTATAAGATATCTGATCTCGGATCTTAACGCGAAAGCCTTTCATCCATTTGGCTAAATAAAATTTGTGGCATTATAGCTGATGTCAGTTCGTGATGAAACCCCATATATAATTCCTAAGGCAAATTACGACAATTATTGCGAACTGGATAACAAAAGCACCAGTAACACTGGCTGCAGCCAGGTACTACAATATATATACGGATGATTGGGGAGCGTACAGACTCCTACATAGGCTTGGTTATGTGCATCGTGTCGTTATCCACAAGTAGCATCAACCGGTGTGCACATAAACAATATTGAAGCTGAAAGAGTTTTTGAGACTTTATCATGACTCCAGAGGCCGACTATTCTGTAGCCGTATGGATGATTTCCTCTACTGCATGCATTACGACTTTAGAACCTCTGAACCTTTTTCTAAGCTTGACAAGTTTTTGAACCACGTATCAGAAGTGTATCCACTTTATTTCCTTGGTTTTGTATAACATATTTTTACTCTATACTGACTGTTTTCTGATTGGTTAATATTTCTCAAGGTCACTTAAGATTCGTTCAAAGGTCGTCCATAAATTAGAGTCTCCCCGAGATGTCAATATTTATAATAAATAATTATCATTAATTCTTCTCACTAATTCGTTCCATTTCTGTAACTGTAAAAGTAAACACTTGCCAGTTTAGTCAGCTACAACGTAGGACTAGGCATATATATGCATCGACACAAGTCCCCACACTTCATTAGTACAACAAGACGAAAACCAAATTCATCAAAGTAGTCACTTCAATGGTAGTAATGTATAAAAGAAAGATTGCATATGAGGAAGAAAGAATTAGTTCATAGAAAGAAAGATATGAAGCGATTTTAATCTCATAGTTTAAAGAAAGGCAAAGAGTGTATACACCTACGCCATTGTGATTGATTCTGAACCATGTCACCCAGAGTCTCCAACCATTGGATACATTAGTTACGTGCACTCCAACCAAATAGTTTGCATCTACCACTTGCCAGTTAATTAACATTTTCAAATATTTTATCTTTTGTATAACATTACACTTTTTTGAATTTACACGTACCCTTGACTTTGTATTCAACTTATTATTTTGAATTACTTTGTAGAATCTTGATAATATTTGACATTAAGTTTGTTTGGTAACATTGAATAACATTCATAGCTGTTGTTCTACTGATCAAATGTATATTGTGTCCATGCACTTCAATAGTGCTTAGTTTATTTTACCATAGAAAATGCGAAATGTTATTCTCAATAACAAGAAAAATGTTGTAATCATTCATAACTTCAAGACTTTTTGTCTTTGCGTATATTTCAAATTTTCAGAATGGAATTTTTGAACTCGGACTAAGTGTTAGCTTATTGAAAAAAACTCATCTGAAGAGGCTATAAATTCATATAGAATAAATTTAAATTGATTTGTGTTACAGTTTTATATCAACTGATGAACAAGTGAAAACCAGGAAGTATTGGTTATCTCTTCAATCTTAATTTGAAATTCTTCAACAATGCTAACTCACGACCCAGTCAAGGATCAAACTCGGAGTCTTAAAATATGTATCAAATAACCTAATGACATTATACGACGAAGAATAGTAATTCTATCATACAACCTAGACTATAGTAGGCGCAATAAGTTTGAATTTTCGAACCAACAATTTTATGGTTTAGACTATTCACCCACTACTGATTGTTTTTTTGTATACACATTCGAATGATTTCTGTCATAGAGTTTCGCATTATGGCCTGGATATTTCATTATCAGCCACTGAATTATTGTGATGAACCCTGAATTTGTATCTAGTTCTTTTCTTTGCATCATGGTATTATCAGTATTCATCACATAATAATAACAGTACAAATAAGTTTCACTTTACTAGACCTCATTCTTTCTGATTGCTTACAAATGTAAACTGAGTGTTTGAAACTGCCAAATACTAAACAACCAAAGTATTGTAATGATTATCGAATGTCTTCAACAACCCCCTGATGATAGTATAGCAACTTAACCTGACACATTCCAGGCTCTGTGTTAACTATAACCGTTGATTGGTTGCTGCTAGTATGATCTCCACTAAGTCCGTACAACCGAGTAGCTTTAAAATTGTACGAGGCATTTATTTAGTTCTTCTTAGTCCTCAGAATTTTTCCAGCTGAAGTAACTATGGTAGAATTTGCAATCAAAGGTGTTTAGTCATGATCAGAATTTCCGAACTTTAATCATGCAGATATCATTACATTTTCTGATCTATGCACCAACTCCTGTTTTATGTATTCTAATAAATAAAATAGTTGGTTGATATATTTGTTATTTTGTAGTTATCATTCTTATTTTGTCAGAAAACTGACTGTAAAAGTCAAACAACGTGTTAAAAATCACGTAGTAATGATGTAATCTAATAGTCTAGTTACTCAGCTCTTAATAAATCGACTATATCTTGCATGTAAGATTGTTTGGTCTTGTTCAATAAAGTCTCTAGTAGTTTATGACTTAATATTTCAGTTCATTTGCTAACTAATAAGTTTATATATAATAGCCTTGAGGTATTTCTTTTATGTTATTCCATCCGGTTGTCCAAAGTGAGTAGATAGGGCCAGAACTCAAACCAGTGATTTCGTGGTCGAAATCTGAGTATTGTAACCATTTAAACTACTTGATCTACAGTGGGCTACATTATTTCGGACATAGTTACTTAGGTGGCTTTCATTATATTTATTAAATATATTAACTGTTAATCGGTTCTAAATTTTAACAATAGAAATTCGACAGTTTTGTTTCTCTTGCCAGTGTGGTTCACCTTTTTTGACAGAAATAGAGTTCAACTTTATTTATCTTTAATCATTTTAGTTTTAATTGTCTTTTTTCTTTTGAATACAGTGGAACTAGACTCTCAGACAAATCACGGATCCCATTAAAAATTCATGTGTAGATAATTTAGCTAAAAGGTTTTCATGGAGTTTGATTTGATTTGTCATCTACACTCATCTTAGACTGATCTTAGTTAAAATATCACTGGATATATCGGAATTGACACCATTGTCAACAATATGGCGTTGGATGAATGTCCCTTTATAATGCGAATCAATTAAGGTTAAGACTGTACATCTGGAAGCCAACCCGAATTGGGATGGTTGGACGCTCACCACAAGACCTGAATGGCCTGAGGTCGATCCCTGGTGGTGTCATGGTGCTCAGTATCAGGCAGTTGTATGGTAGGATGAAACATATATCGACTTTTGTTGGCTTTCTAGTGGTCCCTTAGCTTAGATCTATCTATGGTGAATATAAATTAAATAGACTTCCACGAAAACTCTTCAACTTAACTGTAACGGTCAGCTCTCTATTAACTTACTTGAATATGTTCATGAAGTTCTAGTAAGAAATAGTGACTGGTAGTTTTAAGAGACTCTGGGAACTAAACACTGATCACTAATGAGACTAGATGGTTATCGATGTGTACCTCGAATCAACTGTAAATAATTTGCAAAATTCTATCTGTATATAACGTTCTCATACATTCTTTTAACAAAGGATTCACATAATACTTTAATTTAACTTTCAAATAGTTACCTTTACTCAATGTTTCAAGCTGAGTCTCGATTATGATATCTCATTTCTTTTTGCATATGATCTACAATAGAAAAATACTGAACGAGTTTCATTTCACTTTATTTCACATCTTGTCAACTTTTTCTTATCCATCGACATTCTCATCTCTCTATTATTATTGTTCTTTTTTATCTCTTAGGTTGTTGTTAATTCAGTGTTAAAAGCTGGACTCGAGTATCAAATACATGGTCAATTTCATGAATGGCGTGATCCAATCACTTCTAGAGTATATGGTTTACATTTTCCGGAACAAGAAGATGCTGCAATGTTTTTGAAAACAATCAACTTTATTTTAAATAGACTGACAAATCCTGTAAGTTATATTTTATAAATTGTTAGAAAGAATCAATTTAATATTTTTTTACTATTACGTTTTTACTATAATTGATTAGTGGCTAGCAATGGATTACAGGATGCGTATTTCATCATATTTAGGACTAGTAAACTAGATACTCCTGGATCCCTAATATTGATATCCACACATACTCAAACCTAATGCCTTTCTCCTCAAACGCTAATGCGTTACTCACGGAGCTATGAATTCCAGACAATCATTGCCAATATCACGGCAATTTTCTCAGGAATCACACATATCAATAGAGACGGGACATTTATAGTACTTAACATCAACGAAAATGTGCCAAACTACGTTTTTATGTTGTGCTGAATCTTAGTTAAAAAACGATAAATCTTGCTTTATTTTCATTCGTTTCTTCTATTGGTCAATGAACGTTAATTATCCTTTTTAATCAACACTGTGTTTATCTGTATTTCAAGGTTATCTAAACAGAAACGTAAACAGTAGTGTTGTTTATATAAATAACACTGAGATCATTCTTTGAAAAAGATATTTCTTCATCATTTGTACTAGATTATTAAGTATAGTTAAAGTGTTTTTAGATTTTTGTTCTTCCAGTAATTTAAAATTTCATCTCATCTCTCCTTCTTCCTCACTTGTGCTAATGTGGTATGGCAACTCGAACTGATGTACGTACATACGAAATTCTACGTTGTTATTGACTGACTCTTTCTCTCTGTCTCCCCAACGTATGCGTATTATCAACCCTCAATTGATGCTGATATTTAGTGGTAATTTTAGAAATGAAAGTGTTCTAAAATTTAAGTTAACTGACAACCAGTTAGTTAAAGTCAGTTGTATTTAAATATTATAGAGCAGAAAATTGTTAATTTCATTCTAAAAATATACTCATTCATTTGACTATCATTTCAGTGGCTTGTCATAGTGTAGTGAACAGAACACGAGTGGAGACAATCGAATGTATTTAACACAAAATTACAGGACTTGTTAATAAAATCTAACAATCATAAAGTAAATGCTTAATTTGCAAAATGTCCACCAATTGTCTCAAAATGACTCAGACTTCATTGTTCTTGCATTTTCATACGAATTGCATCCTGTTTCCATTCTTTACTGTTCGATCCTATTGTCTCTGCTACCAGACCTTGCGTTCACAACTAACGTCATCTATTACTTATGTCAATATAAGTAGTAGTAGTAGTTTCGGTTACTCGTTACTGTTAGCGGGACCTATATTAGATTAAAACATGTTCCATGAAGGATTATGTTGGTGCACGCTGATTGGATATTGTTTAATTAATCAGTGCTTGTGGATACTTAGAGAAAATTGTAGAATCTTTTTATGTAAAAATTAGAAATATATTGACGTGATTCTGATAAGTATAGTGAATGGTAACTTTGGAATCCATTTATGGACAAACACCAAACGTACATTTTTATCGTATAACTATTAAATAAATAAACTATTCATATTCATATTCTTCTTATTATAAGCTTTATTTCGACCTATGAACTATTAATATACGATTTACCATTCTTGAATTAAGCCCTGTCTATTAATTACTATCTCCCATATTCACAGCCACATTTGACCAAATCTTGTACAAATGTTGTTTTCGATTTTATGGTACGATGTGGTCTGTCTGGTTGGTTTATAATGATTCACATCGCAAAGGCTCGGGTTTGTGTTCTGGACTTAACTGGCTGGGCTAGTCGGAAGCAGGACCAATCAGGAGTCTAGGCTGCACATGCGGGTTTACGCGTCATTGATCCGATCGATAAGTCACTACTCTCTAATCGGCGGTATCGTTACGTTATACATTAACAAGGCATGCAGTCCACAAGTTATAGCAGATTCCCACTTTCATCCATTCTTGCTATTTGGAACATAATCATGTTCTTGTTCAACCGTATTCGAGGCTTGTAGAGTGGAGTAGTGATCAAGATTACTGAACAATAAGAGTAGCTGGGTCGTAAAAAGAGAAAAAGTAACAGTCACATATTCAGTCATGGTAATAACACTAATAATACTAAAGCTTATGATATGAAACTCACAATCTAAGTGATTTATGACAGAAACTGTCATAACATACTGTACAATTTTAATATAAAGGCCAATTCTCTGTGTATGTGTGTATGTATGTTAGTTTGTTAATTACGCTAATTGTTAAAATAAGAGAAAATTTTTAATAAATCGACAATAACTTAAAAAAATTGGTGAACCGATTCAAATTGATTGTCTTTTATTTTGTACTTGAGCTAATATATCGTATTGAAATTAAGTTTAATGGTATTTTTAGTAGTAATCAAACCAGAGAGGATGCATTCACTTAAATATGGTTTTTTACTCTCTTATTTGTTAAACAGTACATACCATTCTTATCAATCATTAGTAATGTATTTGTTATAACTACTCACTGGCTTGCACTGTTTTAGTCGATAGGTCAGGGGAATACACGTCAATAGAGATCTTAATTTATTCTTCTCGTGTTCGACTATGCTGATCCGTCTTTCGACTGGCTACGTAACTTGACCAATGAAACGTCTAGGCTAGCATTAATAACTTCAGTGACTGATAAGATAATGTTAATTCTTATTAGGTCGCAAGTATAAGCGCTTCTATCTCTTCCCAGTCTTGAGTCCGATAAGAGAACACAGTTGACAATCTTTTATTATTATGTTTCAGACAATCAATATTATCTTACCCAAACACTCATTACTTTAGGTACATGAATTAACAGATCGTAACACGCTTTTAATCTCCGCCTGTGGCTCTTCTAGGGCTAAAACTGGACCAAAGCTCGGGCAAAGGTACAGGATTTGACAGTGGGGTCGGAAGCCCTATCCTGTAGAAAACAACATTGCTAAAAAGACGCCAACCAGAACAAACAATTTAAACTCTGCTCTGGGAGTTGAAAGAAGAATTTTGACACCTTACGATGAAAGCCGAGATTCTTCATAAGTCATGACGTTGATGCCTCTTCTAACAACCAGAGTAACATTTAATATCGATACATGGAATCTCCAGTCAATGTGGATGACTGGAAGGACCAGTCAAATAGCAACGGAAATGAGCAGATTCAACTTGGCGGTTCTCGGATTCAGTGAAACCCATGGGACCCAGGCTGGACAGCAAATATTAGATTCGAAAGAGATTTTATTGTACTCTTGTCATGAAAAAAGTGCGTCAACACCTGAACTAAGGATATGGAGTGAAGTAGTCGAACGCATTGACAACTTCTCTTATCTTGGAACTCTGATCAGCCCTAATGGGTTGGTGTCTGACGAAATCTCAGCACGGATTCGAAAAGCTCGTTTGCCTTTCGCCAACTTACGTCACCTATGGCGAAGGCGAGATATCCGTCTATCAATAAAAGGACGAGTATTCTGCGCGGCAGTCCGTTCTGTTTTACTTTACGGCAGCGAAACATGGCCATTAAGATTAGAAGACACTAGTAAGCTACTAGTATTCGACCACAGATGCCTTGGAAATATTGCTGGCGTCTGCTGGGATCACCGGGTAAGTAATAGTGAGGTTAGAAGCAGGGTATTGGGAAATGATGGTAAATCAGGTGATGAGGTTATGAATCTTCATCGACTGAGATGGTTGGGCCACGTGTTACGTATGCCTGAACACCGATTGCCACGACGTGCAATGCTATCCGGTATTGGAGATGGTTGGAAGAAAGTTAGCGGTGGCCAAACCAAAACGTGGCATCAGTGCTTGAGGTCACTAACTTCTAGTCTGAGCCATGTTGGTAGATGCATACTACTTGGTTGGAGTCCGTGTGACTATCGTAACCGATGGTTGGAGACTCTTGGTGACATGGCTCAGAATCGATCACAATGGCGTCGGTGTATACACTCTCTGTCTTCCCTTAAACTAAGAGATTAAAATCACTTCATATCTTTCTTTCTACGAACCACTTCTTTCTTCTTGTACTATATCTCTATATGCAATCTTTCTCTTATATATTACCACCTTTGACCCAACCACTGCTATGAATCCGGTGTTCATCTTGTTGTGCTGATGCGGTATGGCAACCTGGACCGATGCACATATGTGCCTGGTCCTACGTTGTAGCTAACTGACTGACTGACAATATAGAGACTATAGAAATGCAATAAATTATTTTTCTAAAGGTTACCATAAAAGTGTAAATAATAATAATAATTTGTGAAATAATCCCAAAAGTTTCTTTGTCATCAATATGCACCTCGTTATAACAATATTATTAACCTTATTCTTGTTCTAGTGTTCAGTATGTTCATTTGTTTTAATACACATCTATCTTTAGGTGATCACACGTTGTTCATAAAATTAACTAATTAAGAACTCCAGGTAGTCATTCTTTTTCTTCAATTCTCATCATAAGTGTGATGATACTTGTTCAACCCTTCTATTCTCTTTTTCTTTATGTAGTGTATATATCAGTTTTATCAAACTATCTATGTGTTTTGTTAAGTTAATATGTATGAGATTATCATCCTAAGTAAAAAATTCGTTTTTTGTCTTTCCTAATTGCTTGTTGTTATTATCTTTAAAAATGTTCGAATTGTAGTGAATGTTTACTGTCAGTTTTCGATTGAAACTTATGATAAAGATTATTTTCAGTTGAAATCACGAGTCGATCTAAGTTAAGCCACCATTGAAAATCTGGAAGCACTGCACGGCTGTTTCATCTTAATATGGAACTCCCCAGCAGTGCGCATCCACGATCCCGTTCCCGGGACTTGAACCTAGGATCTTCGGTTTCGCACGCGAACCCTTAACCTCTAGACGATGTTAATGTCTAATTTCAATCTATCCACGATCTCGTGCAACTCTCTATTGTTGTTGTTTTTTTCATAAATAATAGTCCAGTTTTTTTGTTTGTTTTTCTCTCTTGGTATAAACTATGGTCAGTACTTTCTTTTGTTGTGTTTTATTATGTACTTATTAACATTGCTCTTTGTAATATTCATGGTTGATTGATTGACATGTGCAATTGACC